CAAAAGTACCACATCGGTGGATGACAATTTTGAATGAGAATTTCACCCTATAAAAGGAGGCCTAATGTTTAGGATTTAAATACACCTCTCATTTGCCTTTTATCTTCTTAAGGCATTTGTATCTTCTCTCTTTAGTATTATTTCACTTGTAATTTTGGAGTGGAATAAAATATTGATTGTGTCCGAGGAAGTAGGCAAAATTGGCCGAACCTCGTAAATTCTGGTGTTCTTTTATTGTTGTCTTATTGTCTTGTTTATTATTTAGTGGTTGTCATAATTTTTGGTATAGTAGTTGTGACTCATTCACACTATATACATTTGGCTTCCGCAACAATTGGTAACATTTTTAAAGTGTAAAATTTGTAATTTCGAAAATAAAATAAATTACTTGTTATTACAAGTAAAGATGAGCTGATAATGCAAAAATTTCTTAACCAGTTAAAGGTGAGCTACTAGCGTAATAATTTCTATAGCAATTAAAGATGAGCGTTGATGATGTTAAAGTTCCTTATAGTGATAATATATAACTTAAAACTCTTTGTATTTTACGGTTTCACAATAATTCTAAGAAAAGAAAGAAAGAAATAAACAAACAAGAAATACGGGAGAAGTTCATAATACATTGTGGTTTTCCTATCAACGGTTTTGGATTTATATTAGTCTTTTTAAAATCCTTTTCGTTGGTCCACAATAGAAATTAGGCAGAGTGGCAATTCAACTTGTGGAAAAAAGATCCATCTCCAAGGAAAATTTCCGGCTCCTCATTTCCTTTTTTCCACTTTCATTACTTTTTTCCTTCTCCATAGTTTGGAACTTGAAAGTACAGAATTGGAGCTGCCTCTATTTGTTATTTTCTGAAATGTCACATAAAAGTTCATTCTTATAAGTTATATACTTTAGATCATTTTAAATATTCTAACTCTGTTCCAATTTATGTGAACTTTTTCGGAGTACGATGGTCAAATTGACTATTTTTAGGTATAAATTTAGATATAGAGTTTTAAATTTATTTGAAATA